TAAGAAATTTATTAGGTCAAAAAAAAAAAAAAAAAGATTCAGTACCAAAGCAATTTGGCTAAGAGTTCATCTTGATACAGTTGCTAGGAGAAGGGAAAAAAATGCGTCATACACACACACAAAAAAAAAAAAAAAAAAAGACTAATCATAAGTCATAGGAATTTGAAGGTAGGGAGCATATACAATGGTAAAGGGAAGATTAAGTACAAGCTGCTCTTAGGAATAAGGTGACACTAGAAAGGCAGATATTTTAAAGTATTTTAAAGTATGTTAGGAACAAAAGTACATTAGCAATGTTGTAGGCCCAGCATGGTTTTACAGACACGGTAAAACATGAGGACAAAGAAATAAGGAAATAGGCATGCCAGACCTGCAGGGAAGGATAATTAAATACTTTCAAATCCATTAGTAACTGGGGACAACTCTGAATAATACTCAGTAGGAACTAAAACAGGCCCAGATATCTTGCAGCCAAAAGTTTGAAGGAGATCTCTTGTTCTGTTTGATGTGATATTTTAATGTATCATGAACTCCAAGAGAAATACCAGACAATTGGAACAGTGTGGCTGTTGTGCCACTATCAGCTATAGTTTAATTAATTAAACATTGCCATTGGTCAGCAAAAGTAAACAGCACGATAATTTTTAAAAAATATTTGCCTGAATGTTACTGAATGCTTTACGATAAACTGAAGAGCAGCACTAGAAGTGATATAATCAGGCTTCCTGTTCCAGCTCTGCCGTGGTCACTGTATGATCTAGCGCAAATGGATTCATTGCTCCTTTCCCTATCAGATAGGGGTGCTGGAGCAGGGAGACTAAAAACAGGCCGTTCAAGCAGGCTTTGGTGAGAGGTAATGCATCAATGCTAGTGAAGTTTAGACTACGTGATAGAAGATAAAATAAAAATGCAAACCTTTATTGTATTTGCCAGCAACAGAAACATGCAATTTTCCAAAACATCTTTTAAGCTGGTATGTTTCTATGTCCCACTTTTAACCTGGAGTTATTTGATGTGTTATTTATCACTACCTTAAAGTAAGTATGTGAACCTGACAGAATCTAAAGACTGCCATTTGGACCCATCACTAACAGGAGACTGTGGTTTTATTTCCTACATAGATACAGTTAAATAGTGGCTTTAATAGTAAAAATATGGGGTTTCTTTCATCAAAAAAACAGGATTGCCCTGACCACCATAAGCCATTACCATACAAGACATTAGTAACTCCAGTAAGGGCATGTAAAAGTGGAGTTACTTAGAAAAATATCCCTATGTAGTAAACCCTTAGGGTTTAAGAGAGGATTCTTTCTTTTATCCTTCCACTTATGAGAATGATTGTCTGACAATTGCTTTGCTTCCTCATTTGCTCATCTCCCTTTTTTATTCCTCTCATGACTTTAGCTACATGAGCAGTTTTATTTTGCTCTTACAATTTTTCCCTTGTTTGCAATTTTAAAATAACTTCATGTTGCAAAGATGAGATTAGTCTACCATGCAATTAACAAAGTTTGTCTATGATAATTCTCAGACACCAGTTAGAAGGAAACCTGAGCTGCTGCTGGTTGTTTTCAAAGTATTCCTACTGCAAGGTCCAGTTCTCCCTTTTGAGACTTACTTACATTGTTTTGTGATTTTATCCAATTAGTTGTTCACTTTTTAAGTGCTACTTTAATTGGTATCCTTTAATCCAGGCGTTTATATTGTAGAGTAAGAGTATATTAAACAGTGTGCCCTGGGAAGATGTTTGAACCTGGGATATTTTTCATTGCACCAGTATTTGGGGTCATTAAACCTGTCAAACTTGTTTGGACCAGCAAGAAGTTTTCTTTGAGTCTACTCCTTTTAAGGAGCGTAGCTACTGTGAGTTACTGAGCAATGAAATGCACAAAGTACACAGAGTGCCAAAGAAAATAAAGAAGTCAGCTGGACTGAAACTTTATCACTGTGTAAAATAACAAAACAAACAGAAATGAAACCACCCACCTAAAGAAAAAGCCACACATGATTGTTAGTGCAAAATTTAGTTTATTTTAATCTCCCAGTTTTGATATATGTATAACATTTGGAGTCTGTTTCTCGTTGGATCTCTGTATCTAACATAGTTGTTTACTCCCAAGAAAAGTAGATATAAAACACTACCAAATAAAAATCGCTTATCCATTTTTCACAGGTTAAAATGACCATGCTCTGTGAAGGTCCAGAACCACAGATTTCCCATTTCTCAGTATTTCTTGAATGAATGACAGCAGGATTTCCAAAGCCCTTTTAATTCTGTCCTCATTCTTAGTAGGTAGGAACACATTCTTAGCAGTAATAGTTAAGAAGAAATGTACACATAAAAAGGAGTAAAACTGAAATGTTGTTGGTATTCAGCCTTGAAGTTCTCTCTTGATATTATTACCCAAAATGCCACTTTCAGTCATGGAAAAAAACAATCTTTTAAAAATAGCATAACTGAAGTTGCCTCCCTCATCAAATCAATATCAGTACATTTCTGCTCATGGTTTTTCTAAAGCAAAATCTGCCTCCACTTCTATACTCATTACCGTTTTTTATTCAGCCAACTATTTTTACGTAGAGCACATAATAAAGCACAATGTTATGAAACATCTAGAAGTTCACTCTACAGCAGCTGCTCTCCAGGTTCATACCTCCACCCAAAACCACAATATCCAGTGTTCTCCTGGTTGTTTCAGAGCACTGTTTCTTGGTCTTTTTAGTTGGTACCCTCTTGATTTGAAACTGATTTTCACTCTAAGGAAGCATAACAAAAGTGAAAACTTTATCAGCAGAAATGAGCAGTATATAATTTTGTATGCCTTTGAAGAATACCAATGTGGAAGCAAAAGGAAGAGGGAAATGAAGATCCTTGAATTGTTTTATGATGTTTTTTACAAGATACTTGAAATAACTTATAACTGTCTTTCGTGAGATCAAACATAACTACAACCCTGCTTTAAGAAAAAGGAGTAATTTAAAGTACCTTTTCTCTGCACCCAACCTATCTTTTTCTGTAAAACATGCAAGCTGATAAGATGTTGGAGCTGATGTAGTTTTACATCATATGAGATTTTTTAAAAAAATCTCAGTTTACCGTTAGCAAAACATGCACTTTATTTAACTGAGGTCATAGTTTTCACCATTGATGGTTACTGTAACCAACTCAGAACTGAAGCCTGGTTCTGAAGGCTTGCCTGCTCACTTGAGCCTTTTCACAATTCTTAGGAGGTAAGATTGACACTCCTAGTCAACAGCAGATCCAAGAGCTAATGGGCAGTGTTGTTGGGTACTACTACCAGGTCTACAAAATATCACTGTTGTAACGTTCTGCACACCCTCTTTGAGTATAGCTCGTAATAAGGCCTTGTGGCTGCCATGGACATGACATATTTTTTGGGTGCTTGCATTTCTCTTCAACTGCATTGAGAGATGTAGCATCCTTTTGGGTAAACAAAGCCCTCAGGAGCTCAGCAGAAATGCTAGTTCTAGGAATAAATTGCCTAAAGGATTTCCTATAATATACTAATCTGTTCTTAGACAAAGCAAGTGAAATACAGTATAATATGTTGGAAAGAGTTCTTCAGCCTCTTAAAATAATTCACAAGGAAGTCGACCATCACTGAGAAATTGTCTAGAACTTGATGGTGATATGGCATAAAAAAAAAACAACAGCTAGGAGCCAAACCCTACTACCCATAAGCAACAGGAATCTGTGTAGCTTCCTTTTTCTTCCCTCCTCCTTTGGCTGTTGCATCTCTGTGCTTTTTTGTTGGTGTTAAAGAACCGCTGATGAGGGAATTGGGACCCTTGTTTTTTGAAAAAGGGATTTTTATTGGCGCTTCTTAAGAAGGGAGCTGAGTGTTCTTCAGTGGAACCAAGTAGAAAAACTCATCTGGTACAACCCTGAAAGCTCTTCTGTAGAACCTTATTTTTGTTTCAGAAATGGCAATAAGGGTAAGAGATAGATTAGGGCTAAATTTGGATTACACACACTTTGAACTTTTTCCTTGGTGAGCCAGCCGTAATGTGGGAACAGAGATATGATCTGAATTATCAAAGTTGTTAGGTAGGGCAGTGGGAATTGTACTGCTGTGTACACTTTTCTGTAGTTCACCAGAAAAACCCTAATTCTGACACTTATCTCAAACTGCATGTACTGGTCATCAAATACTATTAGACTAGGCAAATATTTACCTGCATTAGTAATGAATTTATTCAGAGAATGGCCATATTTGTATGAAACTCCACTATCAGCCGACTCAGAGGATCCTGACTCCCTCAAAACCTGCCCACATTCTCTCTTATGTCAGGAGGGTACCCTAAGGAGTTACTAGCAATAAAAAGCCATTAAAAATACATAACTTTCAAATTCTGAAGCAACTCCCTTATAATTGCTTGATCCCACATATCTAACTGGTGAAGGTGGAGACGAGTGTCTTCAGTGGACCTAGACATACTAAGCTTTGTTTTAAAAAGTATTTTACGTTCACAATATGCATATGCACAGCTGCCTATGATGAAGAAATCAACAAATCAGCCAGTTATGCTTATTTAAATAAATATTTGCTTATCTTTACATTTTTTTCCTAGTGGTTTCACCTATCGCTGTTGCATAAACTTTGAGTTAATAACAAGCCTTGTTGCTTGTTACAAGATGCATTTAAAACTCTGCAAGTTCAAAAGTTCAAGTATCTTTGCAGGGGTTGTGCTTGGAGTGAAACAGAAGAGAAGTGACAGGAGGACAAGAGAGTATCGAATGGGAATCTAAGGAAACTTTGAAGAAATACGTTGACTAAAAGTGGAGAAACTGGTATTTCCATCGTTTTATTTTTTAATGCATACACAATGTAGTTACGAACCGTAGTGTCCGTCTCTTGTGCAGTACTGTTTCTCGCCCACCAGCCCCTTCCCCCTGCAGCCACCACCACACCCGCCAAACAAACCAAAGCCCATTTCGACCCGCAAGACCCCCGAAAACAGATGTGACAGCTGCGAGCAGCTTCAGGCCGCCCTTCAGGGCAGCTGAAGGCTGCCAGCACCGCTCTCACGGCTCCTCGCCAACTCCAAGCCTTCAGCCCCCGGGGCGCCGACCCCTGACGAAGCCGCCCGCTGGCCGGGAGCAGGCCCCGTGCCCGGGGCAGGGCTGGGACAGGACACGGAACCCCTGCCCCCAGCCCCCGGTCCTCAGCCGCGGGTCTCCAGCCCCCGGGGCCGCCCCTGCCCGCGTCCCCCCGCCCCGTGGGCAGGAGGCGGCCCCCACCTGCCGGCCGGCGGGAGGCGAGGCCGGGCCGGGCCGGGCCGTGCCGGGCCGGGAGGGGACGCCCCCGGTGCAGGCCATGGCCGGCTGCTGCCTGTCGGCCGAGGAGAACGAGTCGCAGCGCATCAGCGCCGAGATCGAGCGGCAGCTGCGGCGGGACAAGCGGGACGCCCGCCGGGAGCTGAAGCTGCTGCTGCTGGGTGAGTGCCGGGGGGTGCCGGGCTCCGGGCACGGAGCTGCTGGTGGTACTGCTGGTGCTGCCGGTACTGCTGGTGCTGCTGGTGCTGCTGGTGGTGCTGCTGGTGGTGCTGGTGCTGCTGGTGGTGCTACTGGTGCTGCACGTCTGCCTTGGACTAGGTGCAAGGCTCTGAGTGAGGCGCTTGGGGCACGCGGGTGGATACTTTGGGTTTTGCGGCGGGTATTTATACGGAACGAGGGCTGCCCGTCCAGGCGTTGCGGCGGAGGAGTCAGCTCACCTGCCTGCAGGTGCCTCCGAGGTTCGCGCAGTGCCTTTTGTCCCGACGAACTTTTGAAAAACGTCGGGCTAACAAAAAATACCCCAACAAACAAACAAACAAAAAATTTGCATCAGCACTCTATTTGTATTTTTTTGCTGTTCAAATCATTGAAAACCACACTTTCTCCAGCTACATGCAGCAGTGCACAGCTATGAGTGTTACGTGTTGCACACAGCAATTTGAAAACATGTTTTATTGGTCAGGTTGTCCACTTGAAAGTAAAGCAAAATATACAGATAATACTTACTCGTGGTTTGGAGCCAACCATAATTTCTTAGGTCTTTGAACAAGAAATGTCAGATTCTTAGTGTGATTTTTGAAGTTAAGGGAAAGTATATAGAAAGACCAAACCTGGTAGGTGATGGAAAGACAGAATCTAGTAGGCAAATCACGAGGAGCCTGATGATGAAATTCCTGCTGCATCTAGGAATTGTGCGTGTATACCTTCACAGCAGAGATGGGATGGCATTTTTAACTGGGGGTGATGTCCTCGGGTATCTTCATGGTGGGGAGAGCCCATGGATGGACAGCCGTGAGGGGGCTTCATTCTGGAGCCTGGGCTTTTATACTGTCCCATGCCAATCTGCTTGTTCTTGTTGCACTGTAGTTATCTTCTCCTTCTTTTAGAAAGGCCTTGTTTGCGTGTTGTAATGCAAAGACATTGAGGAAAACCTTAGGTGGAGTTGTGCAGAAGAAATCTTTAAAAAAGGCTTTAAAATGCTGAAGAAGCAAGGTGCTTTCAGAGAACAAGCTTTTTGAAAGCACTCCTCTGTGACCGTATTCAGGGCTCTGGGGCCTTTTTTGAAATACCAAGCCTTTTTTGAAACTACCTGTTGCAATAAACAAACTAAAACTTCCTTCTGACATTACCAACATGTAACATTGGGACAAGGCTGATTTGTTTACGGTAGCATTTAAGGTATTTTCTAGAACATGGATGTAACCTTGCACGCCCAGTTATGTTAAATATATATTAGAAAGTATAATTTAAAGCATGTAGTTCCATTCAATAAAAAGAATATATATATATATATCATCTGGTACATTTTTAGTACCTTTTTTCTTTTACATGATGAGAAAAAAATGGGTTATTCTGGATTATTGTTCATCCAGCAATGTTTTGTCTTCTGAAAGCAGGTCTTCAAGTAATGATATGAGCGTGGCATAAACACAACTCCTCTCCTTCCAGTAGCCAGTACTCTTAGCTCCCAACCATTTCAGTCACAGAAGCTTCCTGAGACACATGGAGTTCCTGAGTTTTTAGCAGCTCTCCATGTTTTTTCCATCAATTTACCTAGCATCTTTCAGCCAGCCACAGCACTTTGTGGCAGGGCATGTTCAGCCTACCTGTATTTTGCATGAAAGAACTCTTTTAAAAAATATATATATATTTGTTTGTTTGTTTGTTTGGCCTCTTCCTTTTATTTAAAAACTCCTAGCAGTTTCAAAAAGAAGCAGAAGTCTGTCAGTACCTATTTACTCTTCCCCTATGTCTCTTCCAGTCCTGTTATATCCCTCCTCAGTCATCTGTTTTCCAAGCTGAAGCAAATAAGTGATTTCTTTTTTTCTTCTGTGTGCCCATGTACGTGCACGGCAGTTGTGTGCTAATAAAGAGGGATGTAAGACATTTTCAAATCTTGATTACTCTTGAGAAATATACTGGGGAATGGATTTTTTATTTTTAATTTTGTTTTGTGTAAAACACTGTTTTTCACTATTACCCTTGAATACCTGTTTCTGACTTCCTCCCACTCCTCTCCGCAGTCAAATACACCAAGATTCCCATTCTGAGTGACAGAGCAGACTTTGGAAGCAGCTCATGTTGTTCCATAGTGCTGAGACCTCTTAGACAACAGACACCCTTACAGGTGACATTTCAGGTTTCTAAAATAAGCCTTAATACCACAGTTATATGACAAAGCTTTGCTGGCTGTGTCAGGTCAGGGTGTGAAAAATTCATGCTCCCTTACATGACAGTAATAGGTGCACTTCTGTTAATAAAGAGGCCCCATTAAACACTACTGATTAAGAGGATTCGGTGCTGGAGGAAGTAGGCATGTCTTTTTTAAGAAAACAGCTTTAATGTCTGAGAGGACAAGTGTTGTATTCTTGACCAGGATTATTGTTAAAGTACGTAAAGGTTTATAAAAGAAACACTTGATCGTGCATTAAACTTCAGTGTAAAACCTCTAAGCATGGGGAGGATAATGCTGCTTGTGACTGTACGTAAGCATAATTACGACTTAAAACCAGTGGAGATTAGCACAGGTGGTCCTTCTGAAGGCTCAGTGGGGCCGCCTCAAGAGGATTTTCTTCCAGTGTGCATCATTATAATGGCCGGATGTGGAGAGGGTCATACTTGGCAGGCTGAGTCACTGCTCCTTGATACTTCAGTACTTGTTGAGCAGAGAGAGATGCTTTGGGAGCTGTAATCCACAGCAGTTTTAACAATTTGTGTACAGACAGTAGACTGGCAGTACTGACTTCTGACTGGAAGTAGGAAAACCTCAAAACAGACAACGCTGTGCCAGATCTCACTGGAAGAACACTGCACATTTGAGAGATGTGCTGTTGTGGACCTTCATGTTCTTTTAAGCATCTGGAAAGGTTTACGTTGATCCTATCACATGGGTGAACCACTTTTTAGTTTTTTGTTTGTTTGTTTTGTTTTGTTTTGTCTTATGTAAGGCATTCTTTGGCATATATAAGGTTTTTTTGTCCTATATAAGGCATTCTTTGGCAATGAGAGAGAATAGAAAATCAGGCTTTAATGAAAGCTCTAGCGGGATCTATCATTGCTATTGTGCGTGAGAAACTCTAGTCACTTAAGAATTTTCCCATTTAAAACATAAGGGTTAACAGAAGAAATCAGTAACCTGGAAGACAGAACCATTCATTTTGGAGCTTCAGAGGTAGTAAAGGACCAGCACTGATTTTTACATTTCTCAAAGTGTCCAAGACACGTACAGAGAGAACTGGTGTTGACTGGTTTCTAATTACTTTGTCACATTCACTGCAGTAGCAAGAAGTACCCTGTGGCCTTTTGTTTTCCTAAAAGAAGTCATTATATTTCTATGGGAAGCATAGTTTTATCCTTCTGAGAACAGGAAAATTCTAGATGTCAATGCAGTTAATTTTTTTCTTGACACTGGACAGGCTGACACTCATAGATGTGTTAAAATATAATTATTTTTGAACGGCAGTGTAGGAATAAGAAGCATCTCCATGATGAAACTGATTTGATTTTGTGTGAGACAGAAAGATATGCAGGGAGGAAGTATATACATATCAGTATACTGGAGGTAAAGGCCATCTTACCAAGTCCTTAGCAGATCTGTCCATGTTCTTGTTAATAAAAGTCATTAGATTGCATAGATTACTCTAATTTAAACAAATTCTCCTTTGGATAATATAAGAGGCAAGACTGAGCTTCTGGAATGAATAGGATTTTTTTGCAATGAACTAATGGCTTTGCCTGCTAGCTTATCAGTTTTCTACTATATCTCTCTCTGGTTGCAACTACCAGAAACTCTTTACTTTTCTGTTTGGAATATGTTTTTTATGCATTATTTTTATTTCTGTTGGTAGCCAGGCCTGTCTGTGGTGAATGAAAGGCCAGTGAAAACCTTAAGGGTTGAGACAGAATCTGAATAAATCAGCAGGAACATCTGTACCAGACCCTATGTGGGTGTTGAAGGGTGCAGTCAAGGCATCTTTGTGCAATTCAGTATTTCATTGCAAACATATGCATGAGAAAAACTGCTGCTGTGTCTCAGCTCCTCACTGACAATAATGGCGCTTGTTTTTCCTTCCTGGGATAAGTACGCTGGAGTACACGTACCCTGTGTCATGAGAGCATACCTAATAATGATTGCTTGCGCCTCTGCAACCCTCCTCCTCCAAGTTGTCTGTGCTTGCCCTTTTCAGACATATTTGCGGTACCTGTGACAGCTTTGGTGAACAGATACCTGGTTAATTTGTTCTTTTTATTCCCCAGTTCTTGAAAACTAATAATGAGAAAAAGTAGTGTGAAACTAGTCTATGTTATAAAGGTGTAATAGGAGGATGCTGTCTCAGTTTGAAGAACTATGATTTTACATGAATGTAGTCAATTCTTGTTCATTTTATTTTAGTGGTTTGCTAATAGGATTCTCACAACTTACTCTCTAGAGAAAACTGATGCCTTGCCTGTTATGCCTTGAAATTCTGATCATGTACTACAGTTTCTGAGAATCAACAAGACAATCCGTTTCTTCAGAAGCTAATCTATACAAATACTGAAAAATTCAATTTCAGTTCAATTAGTCTCATGCTTTGTCATTACGGGCAGTTGTAGAATATTTACAGACTGTTTGGATTGTGTATGGCTGATTTGCATTGTGAAGCATGAAGTCTGGTGAACATGTGAGGGTATCTAAGAACAGCTCTATCAATATACAAATGCATCTTCCTTCTTACCTATTGCTGAATTTCACTGGGTATTAGATGAGAATGTCTGTTTTTTTCCAACTCTAATATAGTCTATGCTTCATTTGGGAGGCATGTAATTGTCATTTCTAGTTGATACTAATACTATCAAAACATTTATTTATTTATTTATTTTAATGCTGAAAGGCACAACTGTTACTAGATAAATAGAAATGGTTGTTGCTTTAAGATAAAACAAGCATAGTATTTTTAGG